AACAAATTCCAACCTCTGTTGCTTACACAGGTTTTAGTTTCCCCCTCCTCAAGAAACCATTTCACTGCCTGCTCCGACGAACGCCTGTTGATTGGCGTGGCCCTGTCCGTTGGGAAGGCCGAACAATGCCGCACGCTTTTATTTTAATTTTTACTAAATATATTCAAATAGGTCGTGATAGAAATAGGGTCATTTTTATTTTTTTGTTAAGCGCTCGCAGATGTCGGACTTATGAGTTTTTCTGTCGTTGTGGATTCGCTTTTTTTCGTTTAAAACACAATTTCGTCTCGTCGAAACACATTTTTGGTCCTTCGAGCTGGATGTAGTACGGTCGTTTCTTTCGAATGGTGGATTCAAAACGCTCTCGGAAATCAATAAAGTAGAATTATAACATAACCAAAGTAAAGCGCGCGCTCTGATTGGTCAATTTAGCGTCCCCCATTTGCCCATGGGTGTACGCTGCTGACGTGAGCAAATGCAAAGACTATTTTTCCGCGCGCGCTTGTTTTTTCTGGTCACGTAAGATTTGTTAAATAAAAGGGAACTCTTTAGCTACAATGTATCAATGTTATGTTATAAAACAAATGGTAAACACCACACCGTACACTATTGAGTTATGAATGCACTTGGGAGGTTTGCTAAGCACTCAAGAAGCTAGAGTCGCTCTCGGCTATCGCCTCGAGCGACTCTTACGCTTCTTTCGTGCTTAGCAACCTCCCGCGTGCATCCATAACTCAATAGTGTACGCTGTGGTGTTTACCATTTGTTAAATCGAAACATGGACTTCGAGGCAAATCAAAATCTTCTCCGAAGATGGGCAGCGTTCAAAGGAGTCGTAACGAAAAATTCAAAGAAAGCTAAGGATAATATTAGCAAGAACGGTAGCAAAACGGTGCTTCGGACTGTAAAGGAAAGAATTCTTTAAGCATTACAAGATGCGAGCAAAACAACGGAAGACGTAATTGCCTTACAAAGCGATGATGTGACTAAACGAGCAGAGTCAGAAGAATGGTTAGACAATCTGCGAGACGAAGTGGAGGATATCGTCGAATCTATTGAAGAGTATTTAGAAAGCTGTGCAGATGAATCGTCACGCGCAAGCGAAGAATCTTCCGTGGCCACTAATGTAGTTAGCGAAGTTGACGACAAAGGAAGTCAGACTTGGGAATCGTCCGAGGATTCAAAAGGCGTTAAATTAACACAGAAGTTCATCAAATTATTGTCAAATTCGGTACAATCCAAAGGGAAGAAGTCAACTCTTAAACTCGACTTTAAAGACTTTGACCCGGAAAAAACTGAGGGAAATAAAGAAAACAAACCAAACAAAGACGGACTCGATTCGAGAGATTTCGATAGATTGTTTAAAGGAATTAAAAAACCACTTTAACCGTCTCTAGTGGAGATAAAGACCTTTATCACGACTGGAAAGCTCAATTTGAAATATTTGTGGATCGGATGAAAGTCCCAGCTAAAAAAAAGATGATGATGTTGAAAAATTCCCTAACTGGCAAGCCATTACGAGTTGTAGAGCGGTTAGGCTACACATCTAAATAATACCAAACTGCCCTGTAGAAACTTTATCAGAAGTATGGAGGTGAAGAACGACTTCTGCAACGTTAACTCGAAGCCATTTTGCGCGCGTCTCTTCTCGAGGAGACTAATTTGAACGAGTTGGAGATTTTTTCGGATCGTTCAATTGACATTGTAGTTAAGCTTGAGGATAGCGACAAACATCAAGAGCTAGCAGGAGAATCTGCACTTTACATTGTAGTACAACAAAAGTTGCGAGAGTCTCTTCTTATCGCCTACCAAGAATGGTTACACAGAAGGCCCAGGAAGGATGGACTGTCCCTATTTTCTAAATGATTACAGAAACAAGTTGTTTATCGTACGGAAGTCAAAGAAATTAAAGAGAAAACAAAGAAAAAGACAGAGAGTAATACCGAGGCGAGGAAAAACAAGCGTGAGAAAGTAACAGTTCACAACACTACAAGAAAACCCACACCCAAGTGTGTTGTCTGCCAGGGCCCTCATGAAGTAACCTCATGCAAGTATTGGAGTAAAATATCCACTGCGAGTAGATGGGAAATCGCAAAAAAGAACGAACTTTGTTATCGCTGCCTGAAATCAGGCCATCAAGGGAAGAATTGTCCGGAAAATAGTCGCTGTGGTATCAATGATTCTAGAGGCACACATCACTTCCATCTACACTTCGAACGTCGATCTAATACACCTGAACGCGTAGACGCTGCTGTAGAAACCCGAAATGCCTTCGGCGACTCTGAATTTGCAGGGGACGTTGTATTGCGAACGGGTCCTGTCTGGCTTATAGGTTTAGAAGGTCAGCGCATCCAAGTGAATGCCTTCCTAGACGACGGGTCAGATTCAACCTACGTCCAAGATGACATCGCGACAGCCCTTGGCCTCGAGGCTAAAGAACAAACCCTCAGATTGACATCCTTGACAAACAGTTGGATTCCTCTTACAAGTAAGAAGGTTTCGCTGACGATAAAGAGTATCGATGGGGAGACTCAAGCTATTGTGGAAGCATGGACACTGAATGAAATGTGTCAAGGCTTGTCTATTCCAGACAGGAATCAACACAAGGTTAAATGGGGACACCTTAAGAACATCCCATTTCCTAAAGCCCCTGGAAGGAAAACGATCGACATTCTGATCGGATCAGACCATCCTGAACTTACGCTAGCATTAAGAGAGTGTTAGGCCCAATTGGAACGCCCGTGGCAAGAAAAACGCCATTGGGATGGACTTGTGTCGGACGTTTACCCGCCTTTCGTTCAGCAAAGAGGATAACCTACGCCAGAACCTTTCGTATCCAGACCTTGTATGAAGTCCGTCTCGATGAACGACTACGGGAAATGTGGGAGATCGACTCTCTTGGAGTTAAAAACTCTGACGACAATCGGTTGAAGGAGGAGGATATCTTAGCTATGTCTAAGGTCGAAAGTCAAGGAGATGGACTGGGGGCCGTTACGAAGTAGCCATTCCGTGGAAAGAAGAGACCCCCTCCTTACCTGATAATCGAGAAGAAGCGAAGAAACGTTTGCTTTGTCTGGTCAAAACCCTCCTCAAGAAACCGGAACTTGCGTGTCGTTACAAGAACGCAATGAACGCCAATGTTCAGAAGGGCTACGTACGGAAGTTGGAACCCAATGAAGCAGAAGACGGTCCAAGCTGGTACCTTCCACACTTTCCAATTATTAGAGAAGAAAGAGAGACTACCAAAGTACGCATACTATTTGACTCGGCTGCACGATGCAAGGGGTCTCCTTAAATGACGCGATGCTCACCGGGCCTAAACTTCAACGAGATGTCCTGGAGGTACTGCTCTGATTTAGACTAGGACCCGTCGCTCTAGTAGCAGACATCAAGGAAATGTTTTCTCAAGTTGTCCTTGCTGAGAAAGACCGCAAGTATCACAGACTGTTATGGAGAGATCTCGATCCCGCAAAACCTATGGATGTCTCTGAGGCAGTCCGTCTAACCTTTGGAGACAGAGCATCCCCTTGCCTCGCACAGTTTGTGATCCGCAGCCACGCCCTAGATTTCAAAGAGGACCACCCAGGAGCCGCTATAGTCTTGCTCCGAGATATGTACATGGACGATATCCTACACTCAGAAGAAACTGTAGAAGACGCCTTTCTCGTCCGCGAAGACTTGATAAAGGTTCTGGGTGACGCTGGTTTCCATGCCCAAAAGTGGTGTAGTAATCGAACAGAGGTCTTCCAAGGAATCCCACAAGGGGATCAGGCAACGGGCGTAAAGCTTGACGAATCAGAACTACCGAGTATCAAAACATTAGGAGTCCACTGGAATGCGAGTGAAGATGTTTTCACGTTTATTGTTAAAGGAATCAACCTGTCCTTCTACACGAAGCGAGGCCTGTTAAGTCGCATTGCTACACTGTTTGATCCTTTGCAGCTCTTGGCACCATACATCATCAGAGCTAAGATGGCTTTACAAGAAGCCTGGTTACGAGGTCTTGAGTGGGACGAAGAGTTTCCTGACGATTTAAAGTTGAGCACTCACCGATGAGCCGAACAGTTGCCCGAAGCTTCACAGGTCAAAATCCCACGTTGCTATCGACACCACGACGAAGCAGTGGAAAAGGTTTCGCTTCATACATTCGTTGGCGCGTCGCGACTAACATATGCCGCAGTAAGCTACGTCAGATACAGACACGAGAATGGTGAGATCTCAGTTGCCCTAGTAACAGCCAAAGCGAGAGTAACACCGATCAAACTGGTCAGAGTCCCACGCCTTGAGTTAATGGCAGCAGTACTTGGAGTGCGGCTAGCTGAAACGGTCTCTGAAAAGCTTGAGATTCCAATAATTCAACACACCCTGTGGACGGACAGTGTGGATGTAATCTACTGGATTCAGGACCACTCAAGACGACTGAAATCGTTTGTTGCTAATCTAGTAACCGAACTTCAACGGAAATCAGACCCAGCTCAGTGGCGACACGTATCAGGATCCAAGATCAGAACCGCCACTTAGTTCCTGTTCGAATGTATAAACCGATGGCACGAGGCAGTTGAAATTTCGGTTGTGCCGGTAGTGTTGGAATCAGATGACCCAGATATGTACGTTCCTCTTCAGGAATCTGTTGAAGAACCTGAATCCTCCCCGCCTCAAACTGTCCAAGTAGCGATGGAGCCCGAAGTCAGTGAGATGATCGTGCCGTCACAAAGAGATGATAGCGCAGTTCGTGAATTAAGGCCAGCCACAAGTGATGGGCCTCAGCAACCGGTTCTTCCCGAATACAAACCATAAAACTTTGGGAATGAAACATTCACCAGAGATCTCGAGCCAAAGTGGTTCAAGCAAATCCTTGGTTGAACTACTCTGTAGATAGAAAAGTTGGAACTTGCTATGCGCGTTCAACGTTTTTGAAGGATAAGGCTTTTACGTTTTCCAATTGGAAGAAACCTGGGCGCCTTACAAAACACCATCAAAGTGAGATGCACTCATTAGCGATGACAAAGTGGCTGGAATACCGCCAGATGCAGAGGAGATCCTCATCTATATTCAGCGTCATGGATGATGGACATCGGAACTGCGTCCAACGTAATCGCGAACTTTTACGTGTAATCATCCAATGTCTTTTTTACACTGCCCAGCAAAACATCGCTCAAAGGGGTGATAAGGAGGTTCGATGGAGCCTTGGACAAAGATCAGATGTCATCAGGGGTAATTTACTGGAGCTTTTGCACCTTCGATGTAAAGACATTCCTTGGCTCGAAGAAACATTGAACACTCAGTTACAAAACCACGCTCAGTGGACTTGGCCAATCATCCAGAATGAACCGCTAGAAATTTTTGCTGACTTCATATTTGAACTTATCTGTAAGGATGTAAGAGAGAGCGGTCGGTACGGGATTATAATTGATGAAACGTCTGATATAAGCCGAGACGAGCAAGTGTCATTTTGTCTGGGCTATATAGCGAACGGGAGTAAGAAAGAGGCATTTGTTGGACTTCATGCGACGAAAACAACAGATGGTGAAACTCTTTACAAACTAGTCAAAGAAGTTATCAACAAGCTGCAGTTAGAGCTCGAGAATATCGTGGGTGAATGCTTTGACGGTGCAAATAACATGAGTGGTGTAAATAAGGGACTCAGTGCGCGAATGAAAGGGTGCTCTCTTCTTGCAATATATGTGCACTGCTATGGCCACTTGTTAAATTTGGCACTGCAAGACACCATGACAACAGTGGAACCATTGCGAAACACTCTACGCACAATCCAGAGCCTGTGCAATTCTCTAGAGGCTAGTCCAGCACGGCACGCTTTGTTTGGAGACATTGAAACTGAAGAATGTAGCTTGCTTACTACTTTGAAGTCTCAAAGTGTAACAAGATGGTCATGTTGATGGGAAGCGGTGAAAGCCGTCGACCAACAGCTCGAACGAATAGTGAAGGCATTGCTGGTATTATCCACCAACTGGGACGCTAAAACATACTCGGAAAGTCGCTCACTTTTGCATAGAATTTGTGATTTCCAATTCGTCCTTGGCTTGTGTGTTTTAAAGATTGTTTTATCAAACACGAGCAGCCTGAGTACTTACCTTCAGGGAAAGACTGTGGATGTTATTGCGGCAAGACTGAATGCCAATTTGACCCTGGAGACCCTACGAAGCTGCCAAAATGATGAGAACTTTACCTCAGTCTGGAAACTTAGTGAAAGTATTGGTGTTAAGATGAAATCCTGGATTGCTGAATCAGATTTTTTATTCCGCGTGTGCCACGACAATCCTCAAAGCGTTTAGTTGGTGAAAACCAAAATGCCAGTGCTGCTGGTATTCCACCGAAACCACAGGATTACTATAGAGTCAACACCTTTTTCACCTCTTTGGATAAGGTCCTGGCCGAAATTGAGAATCGGTTCACTGGAAATGACCAAGATGTTCTTTTAGGTGTGGTCACTCTAAGTGATTCCCCCTCCAGGGGTAGCTTTGACCTAGTTGCTGGTTACTATAATTTCGACAAGGAGCTACTTCAGGCACACCAACGCCTGTTCAAACGACTCAACAAAACACATGTGGAAAAATCAATTAAGACAGCGGCAGAAGTCATTGACGTATTGCATGAAAACAGCCGTTATGAAATTACACCAGAGTTCTCGAAGGCGACGTCCATTTTGGCCGTCCTTCCCGCAACATCATGCTCAGCGGAATGTTGGTTCAGCGGACTCCGGCGGTTGAAGACTTACCTTGAAGTTCGTAACACCAGGGGGCAGCATAGACTCAATAGGCTCGCTATTATCTGTATTGAGCGCGCCTATGAAAATCAAGTCATTGTCAACAGTATGGACAAGATGATTGACATTTTCGGAGAACGCCATGGAAGGAAGAAGTTTTTCTTTTAATACGTTTTAGATAACATTGAGACTGTTCATAGAATTATGTAAGCAAACTTTCAATTGAGTTATTTTTCAATGATAGCAGTTTCAATAGATGGGAAACTGGTGAACGTCTGCGTTTGCATCCCGATTTCAACCCTTACCCTTTCGGGCATTGCGTAGTTTTATCGGGCAAGGAAGTCACCGCCCGCCGAAGTCCAAAGGTGCCCGTACGCCTATGAATGTAACACGCCGTGTCCCTTGCTGTACTGCTAAAAGGTAAAATATCTTTCTGAAGTTTTCGAGGAAAGTAAAGAAGACACTGTTTAAATTTCATCGAGAACCAGCTGAGGACGTTACTTGAGGAGTCGCCATTTATTTTAAAACTATTCTTGATTGCACTCGTTTATCCAAATACGAGGACGAAGACACTCAAACCATCTGGATTGATTTGTTATCCCACTCGCAAAGGTTACTCATCGGCTGTGTTTACAGACGCCCTGACGCTTCATTATTCTATGATAAACTCCACCGAATCTTGGATAAAGTTTGGATGACACACAGAAACGTTGACATCGCCGGTGACTTCAACTCTAACATGCTCTCTCGTACTGGTAATGGTGATATATTGAAACGTATCTTTCAATCCTTCAACTTTCGCAACATTATTAAGGCACCCACACGAACTTCGGAGTATTCTAACACTTTGATAGACCTAATTCTGACCAATAACATCTCCAAGGTTTCAAGTTCTGATGTGATTAATTACTGCATTGCTCACCATAAGTTCATCTATGTTGTTTACAAGTTAAAGACCAGAAATCCAAAGCCTTTTGTGAAATATGTTCAAAATTTTAAAAATGTGATAAAAAATCCTAATGATTTGAAGCATGACCTGGAAAGTGCTCCGTGGTGGGTTTGCTCTACCTTTGACGACATAGATGATATTACTTGGGCCTGGGATTGTATGTATAATGTCATAGTTAAGGGTCATGTCACTTTACGCAAAGCCAAAGTTAGAAAGTGCTAGCAGCCCTGGATGAATGGGGAGGTCCGGAAAGAGATGAACAAGAGATATAAACTTTTGAAAGGCTGTGATGGAACCTCTTCAACACAGAAAACTTGGGCTGATTACAAAGCTGCTAAAAATAAAGTAACTAAGATGCTGCGTAGTGCTGAAACTCAATATTGGAGGAATAAATTTGAAGAGACTAACGATTCTAAATCATTTTGGAAAACTGTAAACGAAGCCACTGGTAAATCTAAGAGTAAACGCATTGGCCTCCTCAGAGACACAAACAACAACGAAGTATCCAATGATAATGAGAAAGCTGATCTTATCAACTCTTATTTCATAAATATTGGAAAGGAGCTAGCTGAAAAATTCCCTGAAACCGATGAAAAGTGTCAGTTCGTGTACAGAGTCACCCCTATTATACAGGACTTGGAGGTTAACATCAATAAGCTTAAGACTGATCTTAAGAATCTTAAACCTAACAAAGCATCTGGACCTGATGGTATTTCGTCTCGTAGTTTAGCTGTTGCGGGATCATCTGCTTTAGACGGCTTGTTATTGGTATTTTATTACAGTATGGCCTCGTCCAGTTTTCCTGACCCCTGGAAGTTAGCCAAAGTTCATGCAATTCAT